TATTAGGTGGGCTCCTTTCCTTTCCTTAGTCTGTTTCTCTCCTTCCCTTAGGTGTTTCTCTTGAAACTCGCTCCCTCAATAGATCATATGCAACCTAAATCCTCTTGAGACTCTGCTTCTAGGCAACCCGACAACCAGTAGTAACTTTATGAGTATGGAGATGCCTGATACACCAACCCAAGTAGAATCAATACAATTGATCACGAGTTAGATGAGTGAGAAGGGAGAGTAAAGGGATGAAGGGATCTGGAATGTTCTCTAATTATGGCTTGATTCTAAAAGGATATTTGCTATTCATTCAGAGAAATATGGAGTAGTTCTGGGGCGGAGCATGAGGGAGGATATAAGTTAATTCAATTTTGGACATGCTGGGTTGGAGATAGCTGTCGGACACACAGAACACTCAGGTAGAGATGAAGAAGACAGTTGGGCTGTATTTATTTATTACTACTTTAGAAAGAGAGCAGGAGGGAGAGAGAGAAAAAGAAACATGGACATGAGAGAAAAACATTGACCAGTTGCCTCTTGTACACACCCCAACCAAGGATTGAACTCGAAACCTGGGTATGTACCCTGACCAAGCATCAAACCCTCCACCTGTTGGAGTATGGGATGATACCCCAACCCACTGAACAACACAGGCCAGAACAAAGAAGGTTGGAATTTAGAATTTGGAACAGGAAGTCAGAACTGGAAATCTAGAGTTGAAAGTTAACAGCAAATAAATGGCAGTCACAATAGAGGTATTATGTTTACAATCCTAATTCTACTCAGGGAAAGTTATAGGATGCTGTCCTGTTGAATTTGCAGGTTAATACCAGGGAAGGCAATCCAGTTCTCCAAATGAGTCCTTTTGGCCCATTCTGAGCTGAATAATCTTGACCTGGCCTTTCAAAACCAAAAACCATTTTATTTTTATTGTGGATCTGTGTCATCATTAGGGCCAAAGGTAGTAAAATAATAATATAAAAATAAACAATTTTTGTTCACAATGAGTTGTAGTCATATCACCAGTGTATACTATGCCCAAATGAACAAAACAGAAGTGGTTCCTACCGACTTCCTTCAGAACCAGAATTAACTGTTTGCCTAAGGCTCCATAAAGCAGGCATTAGCATCCAGAATCTGAAAGAATGACTATTTTTACCCAACCAACCAGACATTGAGCCTGGGTCTTCTCTCGCTCAGAAGTAAAGGGACCCGAGGATACCTAACTTACCTTTTAGGATGAAGACTCTCCATAGAAATTACAAAGCATGAACTAAATTACAACAAAGCCTGGGGAGTGAGTTTCCCAGCAGGTGCAGAGTTAAGTAGGAAGCATGGGAAAAGAAAGGAAGGAACTAATTCTAACACATTTTACAGAGTTCCTTACTGGTATAATTTGAGGCATGAAAGGGAAAATACATTTTTTTAATTCACTTCATCATTGCTGAGGGCTTCACCTCCACTTACTTAGCAAAACACACCGACAGTCTTGTTGCTCTATATTAAATCTGAACCACTATGTCATCCTTTGCTTTTTCTTTTCAGTGCTTCTCTAAAGGGCACATTTTCCAGGGCCTCAGTGGAAAAGTTCAGTACACCATTGTGTGTAAGAAAGATTGGGTTCCCTCTTTACCATTCTTTATTTGGACTATGTCTTTGTCGGCAAAGCTAGTTGAGTTCCTGCTCTACAATCAACTCACCAAAATCTTTACTAGGAAATGATTAGGCTAGTTCACTGTATCCTAATAATGGAAAATTACTGAACAATATTGGAAATTGCCCTTGGGACTTACCTGAACTTGGATATGAAATAATACATATTCCCATATCAAATAAACTCTTAGCATTTTTGTTCCTGGCAGTCATTCTATAAATATGATGTAAGGTGGTATACATGTGGTATGGTGAGTACAGGTTCTTGTGGAGAAAAAGCTCTATTTCTGGGAATTTTGAGCTGAGATTTATGTGACTACTCAATCATTTGAAAGGTACATATAAATTTAAGGGGCAGGGGCCCCACCCTGCATTTGCATAGCTGTTACACATCCCTTTAAATATTAATACAGAATCAAAATACTTTCTACTTACAAACTCCTAAGCGATAGCCTGCTCCTTGAAGGTATTTACTATGTTTTAGTATTAAAGAGCCATGGTTTTCCCATTTTAATAAAGGATCATTTAATAGTTCTTTCCCCTCAATATTTTAAAAAGTTAGCTTTAAATCATGATTTCAAAAGGATACTCACATACTGTATTACGCACTTAATGAAATCACCTCATCCTTCAACGCATCAAGCTCAGAGAGCACAGCGCCAAAGCGAAGAATCTCGTGGCCTTCTCCATCTTCACCTTCCTTCTCCGTGTTTCTAACCCTGACTCGGTGGAACACTTGAATCTGCGTCTTGAATTGTGAATTCATCCCACGCTCCGGAGGCAGTGGCGACCGCGGGTTTGGAATGGCTCAGGGAAGTCCCACTGCCTGGGTTCTAACGCTAACTGCCACTTAATAGCTGTTTTAATAGCGGATCGTTAGCAAGATTCTTAACCTGTTTGCAACTTAGTTTCCTCACTTGCCAAATGGGGATCATATACATCTACCTTGCGGAGAAATGAGCTCATTCTTATAAAGCAGTGATTCCCAAAGTGGGCGCTACTGCCTCCTGATGGGCGCTGCAGCGATCCAGGGTGGCGGTGATGGCCACAGGTGCATTTGTTTTAACTTTTTTTGTATTACCTTTCTATTCTGAGTTCAATAAATAGTTTCATAATTTCAAACTTCAATGTTTCTAATTTACAGCTTTCTTTACTATATTTTACGAAAAAGGTAGAAACATTAATACATATATCTTTCTGTTTAATTGCTATTAAAATTAAAAAAAGATTAATTTCCAGGGGGCGCTGAGTAATATTTTTTCTGGAAAGGGCGCGGTAGGCCAAATAAGTTTGGGAACCACTGTTATAAAGCGTCTATGGCGGTGTTTACTATTATTATTATCATGGAGCTCGGTCCATGGCTACTAGTAAGGATCAGTTTGTTCGAGTTCTTTAAAAGTGTGGCCAACACGTGTGAGCAAGCAGGAAATTTGGAGAAGAAGGGCCAGCTTTCTAATTCTGACTCGACCTCCTATTTAAAGCAAATCTGCGCGCAGCTCTCCCCAAGGAACTGCGGGATCCGCTTGTAGAACAGACTGAAGAGCTGGGAGAGGCACCGCGCGCGGGGACGGAATCGGGACCAGACCAGGTCAGGCATGAGCCAGACACTCGCGGGGGGTCCTTCAGGCGAGAGGCGGGAGTCGGATGCGCCTCTGGGTTGGATAGAAAGAGCTGCCAATCCTGGGAGGCGCACCGGAGGACCAATAGCTTTCTCACTCCGCCTTCAGGGGGCGGGAGAATCGGGGCATCCTTAAGGAGGGCGGCGCCTCTGCGCCCCTAGGACCCCAGGCTTGAGTACAGCCAAGTCGTCGGCGAACCGCGGTCCAGTAGAGCAGGGTGAGCGCGGGAAAGGAGTACGAAGAAGGCCAGGGAAAGGGGTAGAAACGGGAAAAGAGGGAGATACCACCATCAGAGCCGAGAAATAGGAAACCATGAGGCAGAAAGGGCGCGCGCGTAGGCGGGTCTGGAGAAATGTGAAGAGGGAAGGAATGGGGGGAGCAAGGGGCGTGGGAGGAGCAGCGAGGTGAGGAGACCTGGGGGACGAGGAAAGGAGAGAGCCGGCGGGGCATTGAAGAGTCGGATAACCCACGGGAGGAAGGGGTGCCCTAAGAATTCATCCCATTGGGGCAGTAAAGCAACGCCTGGGAAATTGGGAGTCACCACGTGAGCCCCCCCTGCGGCCTCAGTCGGCCTGCAAATTAACCTGCTTGTGGACGTGGTGTCTGGCCCTTTAAGACGAGGCTGGGAGTGGGAGTTTCCCTCGGTCCCTCTGAGTGGGACTGTCCTTCTCTCAAAGGCCTGGACCTAGGCAACCTGGTCAGCAGGTCCAGCCTCTAAGTTACCGCCAGGTCACTCACATCCTGCAGTTTTGAGAAAGTATCTGTTCTCACCTCCGCCTGGACGCGGGCTCCTCCGACACGGTCTCTGACACACCCTCCCTGGAGACTGATTCTACTGACTTACTGCCCCCTTTCTGATGCATTTTCTCACCGACTTCCATGTTGGACCATTTTCTGTATCAGTACATCCTCCCATCCCACCTCTACCTGCCCCTGAGCCCTAGACTTACAGACAGGAAAAACAGGGATGGGGCTTCCAAAGTAATCTAGTGAGACCCCGCATTTTTAGGTGAATTAAAAACACTGAGACCCCGAAAGGTGAAAGTGACATGTACTGAAACCTTCGTCGGCACCCAAGGCCAGCCTTGTCGATTTCTAATGAAGCACCGGCATTGGAAGACCGGCCTTAAACCAGATTTCAGGATCTCATAAGCCTCTCACCTTTGCCTTTCCACCTCTCAAGAGGTAGCTGAGATTCTGCCCATGGTTAGTGCTCTCCTGCACTTGAGTGAGAACTCAGCTTTGCTTTATCAACAGGTTGTTTTGGTGGAGCCAAAAGAATCCCCTCTCGAAAAGTAGTACAAAATAAAACCAGGGAGGGAGGAAAAGGATTAAAAGATCAATTGAGGATCTCTAACATACAAATTTTAGGAATTACAAAAAGGACAGAGAAAATTTCAAAGAAATAATTCAAGAAAGTTTTCTAGAACCGAAGGACATGCACTTCTAGAAGGAAGACATGATGGATCAACGGAGGCATATTAAGGTTAAAATAAAAATTTCAGGAAAAATTTGAGACATAGAAGACAGGAAGTTCTTGGTTGCAAGCAGATAAAGATTATTGCCACCAGAGGGCAGTAATGTCTCAAAGGCTCTATAAGATTGTGTGTGTGTGTGTTTCCACAAAATTTCTTCATCTCTTTCCAGAGCGCTAGGAAGGGTTAGGCTCAATTTGAATACATTGCATCTAGTCACACTTTATCAAAGCTCTCACTCTGGTTTTTTGCCTAAGAGGCTCTGCTAACAGATCACCATACAATCAGCCTGGGCAGGCAGCGAAGGGAGACTTTTAAGAGAACGGACTCTGAACTATAATTGTCTGCTGTGGACATGACTTCTGTCATGCAGAGACTCTACAAACCATTCATTCTCACAATAACTTTTATTGTACTGTGCTAGGCACCAGGAACACCCCAGTTAAAATCCGACATGGTCTTTGTCTTCACGAAGCTTACATTTTGAGGGAAGAAATATGCAGTATACAAGTTGAATATATATCTATAGATATAGATACATATGGAATTTGATAGAGGTCAGGGTGGAAGTAAGCAGACCAATTAGGAAGCTATTGCAGATGTCAGGTAAGCGATATAGATGAGTTGGATTAAGGCAGGGGTCGGGAACCTTTTTTTCTGCCAAGGACCATTTGGATATTTATAACATCATTTGTGGACTATACAGAATTATCAACTTAAAAATTAGCCTGCTATATTTGGTCAAACATTTAATTAACTCACTGTCCTAATGCCTTGGCAGGGCCAGACCAAATGATTTCCCGGGCCTTCTATGGCCCACAGGCCGGACATTCCCCACCCCTGGATTAGGGTGATGGTAGGGGGAAGAGAAGTAGATGAATTCATGATATACAAGATGGAGCAACAGTAGATTTACAGTTGTGAATACATGAAATCATTTATTCTTGTATTATTATTGTATTATTTTCCATACGAATATTGTTCATTGCCCAAAACTGGGAGGTTAGAGCATTAACCTCTGGATTGACCAAGTGGCTGGGTGGATGGGTTGCCATTTTCTTAGGTGGAGGAGGTGTGGAGAGAAAGGTTTGGGAGGAGGGGATGGTGGATAGAATCAATCAAGACTTCAGTGAGGAACATTAATTAAATTGGTTTTTCTCCCCATTCATTTGAGTTCTGGTGAATATTGCTGATCCAGGCTAGGATGGGGTTTGTTCCGATCTACTGCACAATAGAATGGCTTGGTTTGACATCCGTGGTTTAAACTGACATTTGGCATTAAGTTAAAAATTGCTGTTAATTCAGTCCCCTACAGAACCGTAGCAAAATTTATAGATTAACTAAAGGCCCGGGGCATGGATTCCTGCACGGGTGGGGTCCCTCAGCTTGGCCTGCACCCTCTTGCAATCCAGGACCCCTTGGGGAATGTAGCAGTGCCGAGGCAGCCAGGGAGGAGCCCCAGGCTGGGCAGGCACAGCTCCACTGCTCATCCAGGCCTGCCACTGCTGCCATCCGTGGTTTAAACTGACATTTGGCATTAAGTTAAAAATTGCTGTTAATTCAGTCCCCTACAGAGCCGTAGCAAAATTTGCTTAAATTTGCAGTGTTTTTTGTTTGTTTTTTCTCCCATGGTGGCCATTTGAGAGTTAAAGAGAACAGGCCACATTTTTCAGTGTTTTCGTTTGTAACCTAGAAATTGAGTAGTTCTGTACTGTGCCCATAGTTAACAGTACTTCAGTCACCTTCTTTGATTCATTGCATTCTCTTTGTATTCATTTGTTTGGATCTTTGTACTGTGCTGTTTTGAGGGTAAGAATTGTATCCTTTTAAACTCTATACTTTTATATAATTCAGAACAGTGCTTTATAGATTAACTAAAGGCCCAGTGCATGGATTCCTGCACAGGTGGGGTCCCTCAGCTTGGCCTGCACCCTCTTGCAATCCAGGACCCCTTGGGGAATGTAGCAGTGCCGA